CGGGCATTGGTACTGCTGCGCTAGGTACTTCTGCGGCTGCTGCTCTAGGTGCCAGTGCGTCTGCACTCTCAGGTACTGGTGAGGCTGCGCTCTCAGGTACTGCGTCGGCTTCGGCCTCCCTCACCTTCACGCTTGACTCAGGGGCTTCTCGCTCCTTCTTTCGAGACCGCACCACACTCACGCCGCTTGGCCGGCCGGTTGCAGTCTCCCTGGCTAACCCCTCTGGGGGTCCTGTCCTCTCTCACTTCTCCACTGTCCTCCCGTGTCCGGCTGCCCCCTCGGGCACCTTGTCTGGTCTGTACCTCCCCTCGTTCTCGACGAACTTGGTGAGTGGTGCTGACCTGCAGGATGCGGGGGTTCACCAGTTTACTCCTGCGAGTCAGCGGGTGACCCACTGCTCGGACGCCCGCACAGGCCGACACCTGGCCACGTTTTCGCGTCGGCCGGGGTCGAGTCTCTACACCCTGACCACTGAGTCTCCTCCTGTCCCTGCGTCTGGCCAGGTAGCTGCGTCGGGTCAGGTGTTTGCTGCTGCGTCCAGGTCTGGTCCTGAGTCTGCCCCCTGCTCGTGTCGCCGCCTGTCTCAGGAGACTCTCCTGTGGCACCACCGTCTTGGCCACCCCTCCTTGCCTCGTCTTCGGGGCATGGCTTCCCGTGTCCTTGTCTCTGGTCTTCCCCGGTCTCTCCCTCCCCTTCCTTCGGGACCCGGACCTTCCTGTGTCCCCTGTGTCGAGGGGCGGCTCCGGGCTGCCCCTCACTCCTCCCAGTTTCCCCCGACAGAGGCTCCTCTGCAGACGCTTCACATGGACGTGTGGGGCCCGGCCCGCGTCCGTGGGCAGGGTCACGAGCGCTACTTCCTGCTGGTGGTTGACGACTACTCGCGTTACACCACAGTCTTCCCCTTGCGCAGCAAGGGTGATGTCACTGAGGTGTTGATCGACTGGATCCGCGCAGCTCGTCTCCAGCTCAGGAGGAGCTTCGGCTCGGACTTTCCTGTTCTGCGTCTGCACTCTGACCGAGGTGGAGAGTTCTCCTCTGGCCTTCTGCGAGCCTACTGTCGTGCACGAGGCATCCGCCAGACCTTTACGCTTCCGGACTCTCCACAGCAAAATGGGATTGCTGAGCGCCGCATTGGCATGGTCATGGACGTCGCTCGTACGTCCATGATGCATGCGGCTGCCCCCCATTTTCTGTGGCCGTTTGCGGTTCGGTACGCGGCGCATCAGATCAACCTTCACCCCAGGGTCTCCCGGCCGGAGACCTCCCCAGCTCTGCTGTGGACGGGGAAGGTCGGCGATGCGTCTGCGTTCCGTGTCTGGGGATCTCGGGCGTTTGTCCGCGACTTGTCTGCGGACAAGCTGTCCCCTCGTGCTGCTCCCTGTGTCTTCCTCGGCTTCCCCCCTGACGCCCCAGGGTGGCAGTTCTACCACCCCTCCTCTCGTCGTGTTCTGTCCTCCCGGGACGTCACGTTCGACGAGTCAGTCCCCTTCTACCGCCTCTTCCCCTACTGCACTCCTTCCCTCCCCCCGCCACCGCACTTCCTTGTGCCAGGTCCCCCCCCGGTAGACCCCCTTCCCCCTCAGGGTCCTGCCCCTTCAGGTGTGTCCCAGGTAGACGCAGTCGAGCCGGTCGAGGTTGCTGGTGACTCTGGTCCTGCTGCGGGTGCTGAGCCTGGGGGTGCTGACTCTGGGGGTGCTACGCGCGTGGGTGCTGAGCCTGGGAGTGCTGAGCCTGGGGGTGCTGAGTCTGGGGGTACTGAGCCTGGGGGTACTGCGACTGGGGGTGCTGAGCCTGGGGGTGCGGAGTCTGGGGGTGCTGAGCCTGGGGGTGCTGCGACTGGGGGTGCTGAGCCAGGGGGTGCTGCGTCTGGAGCTGCTGAGCCTGGAGCTGCGGAGCCTGCGGCCACTGGACCTCCCCTTGTGGCGTCTGGCGGTGCGGGACCTGGCGGTTCTCCGGGTGCTTCGCCTCGGCGGGAGCCCCTCTCTCCACAGGAGCTGCGCGAGTGGTTTGCTCGCCGCTGGAGACGTACTGCTGGAGCTGGAGCTCCTTCGGCTGCTGAGGGTACTTGTGCCGCTGGTCCCGGAGCTGCTGGGCCCTCGGGTCCGCCTGGAGCTGGAGCTGCTGCGGGCGTTGGTGCTGAGACTGCTGCTGTCCTTCCTGGCGGTGGTCCTGCTGCGGGTGCTGCTGGTGCTGCTGGAGGTCCTGCCGCTGGAGGTGCTGTTGGCGCTGGTGCTGCTGCTGAGGGTGCTGTCCCTGCTGTGTCTGGAGTCGCCGCGCGGCCTCGGCCGTACTTCGTTCCACTCCTACAGCAGGTTCTTGGTCTTTCTCCTCCTGCAGCGTGTCCACCGCCTGTTCAGTCACAGTCCCAGTTAGAGCCCGCCTCCCCACTTCCTGCTCCCTCTCCTTACACTGGTCCCACTGGAGGTCTTGCTGAGCGTCGTGAGCCTGCGTCTCGTCCTGCGTCGCCTGTTCGTGCTGCTCGCGCTAGTGGTCGCGGTTCGCGTCAGCGTCCTCCTCCTGTCCCTGGCACGCACCGGATGTCTTTGCGTCCGTCCACTGCTCCTCTGCGTGCCCCTTTGCCTTCTCCTCCTGAGTCCTCCCTTCCTGCACTTACCGACCCAGAGTCCGACTCTCTTCGTGCTGCTAGTCCTACTGTCACACGTCTCCTTGCTACTGTCGTCACTGACCCCTCTTTTGAGTCCACTGCTGCGTCTGCGCTTGTTGCTGAGCTCGTCGACTTTGCTGCTCGCTGTCGTCTAGACTACGCTGCCGGTCTTGTTGCTGAGTCTGCGTCTGTCTGTCCTCCGTCCGTCGGGGGTGAGTGTGCTCTTGGCACGGAGGAGTTCCAGTGTCTGGCTGCTGCTTCACCTCATCTCGCGTCCGTACTACTTGCCCCTGAGGGAGACCCGGATGCACTAGACATCCCGACTCCGCGCTCTTACGCGGAGGCCGTAGAGGGTCCCTACTCCTCTCAGTGGCAGGCAGCTATGGATGCAGAGATGGCGTCCTGGAAGTCCACAGGCACCTACGTTGACGCGGTGCCCCCTCCTGGGGCGAACATCGTCAGTGGCATGTGGATCTTCAGGGTGAAGCGGCCGCCGGGCTCTCCACCTGTCTTCAAGGCGCGGTACGTCGCTCGTGGCTTCAGTCAGCGGCAGGGAGTTGACTACTTTCAGACCTTCTCTCCCACCCCGAAGATGACCACTCTTCGGGTGCTGCTGCACATAGCCGCTCAGCGCGACTACGAGCTCCACTCTCTTGACTTCAGCACTGCTTTCTTGCAGGGTAGCCTGCACGAGGAGATCTGGCTGCGCCGTCCACCTGGCTTCACTGGGACTTTCCCTCCTGGCACCCAGTGGAGCCTCCGACGGCCAGTCTACGGTCTCCGCCAGGCACCGCGTGAGTGGCACGACACACTGAGGACTACGCTTGCGGCTCTTGGGTTTGCTCCCTCTACTGCTGACCCGTCGTTGTTTCTGCGCACCGACACTTCTTTGCCGCCGTTCTACATCCTCGTGTACGTCGACGACTTGGTCTTTGCCACAGGTGACACTGCTGGACTAGCCTACGTGAAGTCCGAGCTGCAGAAGAGACACACGTGCACAGACCTGGGTGAACTGCGCAGCTACCTTGGCTTGCAGATCACTCGGGACAGAGCACGCCGCACCATTACCTTGACTCAGTCACACATGGTGCAGCAGGTCCTTCAGCGCTTTGGCTTCACGTACTCCTCGCCTCAGGCCACTCCTCTGTCTACTCGCCACTCGCTCTCAGCTCTGCCTTCGGATGAGTCCGTAGAGTCGAGTGGCCCGTACCCAGAGCTTGTTGGCTGCCTCATGTACCTGATGACCTGCACACGACCTGACCTTGCATACCCTCTTAGCATTCTTGCACGCTATGTTGCTCCTGGGAGACACCGACCAGAGCACATGGCTGCAGCGAAGAGGGTGTTGCGCTACTTGTGCAGTACGTCGGGCATGGGGCTAGTGCTTGGAGGGCGGAGTCCAGTGGTCCTCACTGGGCACGCGGACGCTTCTTGGGCTGACGACCAGGCTACGCAGCGGTCGTCGCAGGGTTACACCTTCAGTCTTGGTTCCGGCTCTGTCTCGTGGCGGGCTACTCGCTCGTCCTCTGTTCTCGGCTCCAGTTGTGAGGCTGAGATCTACGCCGGGGCCATGGCTGCACAGGAGCTTCGCTGGCTCACCTACCTGCTGACTGACCTTGGAGAGCAGCCTCGTTCTCCTCCAGTGCTGTACGTAGACAACAAGGCCATGCTGGCCTTGTGTCGAGAGCAGCGCTTGGAGCACAGAACGAAGCACATTGCTCTCCGTTACTTTCTTGCTCGTGAGCTGCAGCAGCGTGGTCAGTTGCGACTTGCGTACGTGGCCTCTGAGGCCAACACTGCTGATGTGTTCACCAAGGCACTTGCGCCTTGTGACCATCAGCGCTTCTGCACTCAGTTGGGTCTTGTACCTGTCTTGCCTCACTTGCTCTCCTCTTGACCTTGCTTGTACTGTCACATATATATACCTGCTCTTGCTTGTCTAGCTCTATATATATATGTGTCCTCCTGCATGTGAACTGGCCTTGTGGCCTTGTCGTTGTGCTCGGACTGTGTGGTGACTTTGTGATCCACCCTGAGCTTGCTGTGCTTTGCGTGACTGGTCTTGTGACCCCTTGTTCTCCCCCACTTTGCCTATGGGGGTGTGTCAGAACATTATATAGCTTATGCTGTTGTGTAGGCTATAGTGGGGTATCCCATAGGGGGTACAACCAAATTAGGGTTTCCTATATGTACTCACTTCATTCATAGTTCATCCATTCGCGTTCTCCTTTTCACAAGAGAGAGAGAGAGAGAGAGAGAGAGAGAGAGAGAGAGAGAGAGAGAGAGAGAGAGAGAGAGAGAGATTGAGATAGGGGACTTTGCCTCTGCCCTCAGCCTCTACCCTTAGTCCTATAGCTATATAAGGGCCCCATGAGGTGCGTCCTCTTTCATTAGTTCATTTTGTTGCAGAAATGGTAAGCGCTGAGCCGCCAGCGCTCGTGTGCGCGGCCTGCGGCCACGTGCATTTGGGAGGCAAGCATTAAACGAAGAACAAACAAGAAGCATACAATACATGACGCGGGCAACCAACGCGCTCTACACGTAGACAACAAAATGCAGCGGGTCTATGTGCGGCGGGTGCCCGAAACTACATAAGATGGGCATCAAGGGCCGCGAGGATTCCACGAATGGTCCTCCACAACTGTCGGACCACTAACGCTGTCGCGCCGACAACTTCAATCCCGCCTCCACCACGGAGGTGTCCTGTCAGACCCTGGACCGTCTCGTCCAGCTGCGAGACCACTACGTCTCCCGTCGCGGGCGGTGCCAGCACGGGTAGGAGGAGGACGACAGATTGCGAAGCCGCTGTCAAGCATTCTGCTCTCTCACATGGATTGAGAGTGCTCCCTGGGCTCTGGAGAATGGCAAAGTGTGCATTCACCAAAATCAGTGTCAGGGACTGCTGACACTTCACCAAATACCAGAGCTGCCCAAGAGTCGCCGTGGGCACTACGGGAAGAGAGGGGGGAGGTGGCGCAACGGGAACATCAGCAAGACGACGACGCGGGATGAACTGCCCCCTCGCCTCTCCGCCTCCCGCCCCCACAAATCCCATGCCCGCCACAGCAGGAATCCACGGCAAGTCGGGATACGGAGCCGCAGAGACAGGACGCGTGGCGGCTGGAGGTGCATGCACAACAGCTGGAGCAGGGAAGTGCGCGTACGGCTGTGTTTGCGGGGCCTGAGCCGCGGTTGGAGGCGGGGGACCCCGCTCGGGAACAGTAGGGACGGATGCTGCATGGGCAGGAGCCTGCGCCCCGTCCGTGTTCGGCGCGCCTGCCAGAGCCGCACGCATTGCCGCAGCCAATTTCCTCGGGAAGTTTGCGCGCAATTGCTGCATTTCGTTCATCTCGCCGCGCCCGCGACCGCGACCTCCCCACCAGCCACCACGCCCACCGCGAGGCGCCGATCGATACGATGGGGAGAACCGCGACCCCGATGCGATGCCGCTTGACCCCCCGCAACGCCGCCAGGCGCGGCCGCGGGGGTCAAATTGTGAGCAGAACCAGGGCCGGCACCCAACCGCTGTCCCCAGCACAGGACCCGCAACAGCGGCCTGGTCTTGCTGCAGCGGCACTTTCGTCGGCTGCGCGGCAGGAAGTGTCGCGCCAGAGGCGGAGACCTCGTGAGACTGGCTCAGCGGGACAGCAGCTGCAGGCGGCATGAAATTCGCTGACGCCGCAACAGCGGCGGGAGGTGCTGCGGGAGGTGCTGCGGGAGCCACTGGAGCAACAGCAGGTGCAACAGGAGGAGCCGGAGGTGGAGCGAGAACACTCTCGACAGTCTGACCTTGGTCGACCACCGACTTCTCTCCTTTGTTCGCCATTACCAGGGACGCAATGGCAGCAAGCGCTAGAGGAAGCTCGGTCTTGTCAGGGATCAGGGAGCGGAGGACGAGAAATCCCCTCGGCTGTCGCGGCTAGCCCGCAGAGGGGCGGAAGTCGTGGCGGAGATCGCGGCGTAGGTCGCGGACGGGGAAGAGGTGCACAGGGAGGCGGCTCAGAAAACGCCTTCCAGACAGCGGCTAGGAGGGCTTTAATCGAGTTGGAAGAAACTGATGAAGAGGCTGCAGCGTCGGGGAGTATTTATGAAGAAGAGGAAGGCGAGGGAGAAACGCCTACAAGTTCGAATGCCTCAGAGGAGGCCCACTCGGCAGGGAGTTGGCTCAACCCACGCTCGAAGCGCATCCATAATTTCCAGGAATGCGCCATATCAGCTGCGAAACCCAGCACAGACACGAACCGCATATCCAAACCCTGTCACCACTGCCAACCACGCTGGCCATCCAGACCTGACATCAACACCTGCAGCTGCACCGCGAACAACAGAGAGGGGTAACCAGCCGCAAGCACAGCCCCCCCCCCCCCCAGAAATCGCCTGAATCCCTCGCCAGTGACGACGCATTTTTGCCAAGCGTCGGTAGCTGGGACTTGGAGAAGCTACGCGACAGTCATCACACTCCCCTGTCACGTCGCATGCCAGAAAAATTGCGCCTTCTCTTCGCAATGGTCACGCTGACACCTCTGTTGCAACTCGCGAAGGATCCTGATTCCTTGCTAGCCTCGATACTTTTCCTGTTCGCCGCTTGCCTGACGCTGCGTGAGCACTCGCCAAGACACCCTGATTGGAAGGCGACCAGAGGCCGACTATGGAAATTCCTACGTGGGAAGTGGGATTCGCTGTTCCAAGAAACTGTGGATTCTCTGGACAATCCCTCCCCGCCAAAACACCAACCTGGTTGGGGGTGATATCCAGGGCGGAGGGATTGGCGTGACGTGGCAGTCTAAGAAGGGCGGTTATGGCACTACATGCCACCCCAGTCAGCACTCCATCACCTGTAGTACTTGAATCCCTCCGTGCCAAGCATCCAAGCGCCACGCGGCCAGATTCTCCGTGGCCCCAGCTTGATCCGGATTCATACCTGGCACATACTCAAAGAAGTCAAACCACACCAAACACAAATCTTGCACACGCTCACACCACACATGCAACGCACGAACATAACATGGGAGGCAGACAGACGTGAATGCAAATGATGGCATCACATGACACTCGCACACCCTCTCAGCATCCTGGCACGCTACGTTGCACCCGGGAGACACCGCCCTGAGCGCTGGCGGGCTGCAAGGAGGGTGCTGCGCTACTTGGCCGGTAAATCCGGCTTGAGACTTTTGCTTGAAGGACGATATCGAGTTGTGCTCACTGGGCACTAAGACGCTTCTAGGGCCGACGACCAGGCGACTCAGCGGTCGTCACTGGGTTACACTGCAATACGCACATTTTTTGAAGCCGTAATCAAAACCCAAGAAAGGAGTGTATTGCATTTTCAATAATTTATGTGAAGGAATTGCTCACATGGCTAGGATTTCTCTTTTATGCTAATGAAGGAACAATGAGACACGAATGACACCATTAGAATAACAATATACGCTAGCGTTTTTATATTCCGGGCCGAATTAAAGGACGCACAAATGCGTTCGTACTCATCTAGTTGCAATGAGAAATAGTTAGATTTAAATTATGTAAGAGAAATTGTTGATCTGGCTTCGATTGTTGTTTATGTGAAGGTATAGCAATGAGAAACTAATAAACTAAACAAAATACTACTTAATATCAAATTAATTGTATGAGTTAAAGATAGAATTGCATTATTACTTGCTAAATGTTAGTGATTAGAACCAAAGTTTCGAAAACGAGGACACATGAACGCGACCTTGCTTCCCATGGTCCAAAAGTTATTGATCCCCCTTGTCCCTCTCCCTCACTCAATTATTTCGAATCTCTAAACTAGCACACCACAATTTCTCTCGCTTCCTTATCAGCCTAACATATGACAACTTCACTACGGCTTAGATCATAGCGAACCCTATCTCGTTGGCCAGCTCCCGTTGCCCTGCTTGCCACGCGCTGCTCTCGTCAAATTGCTAAAGAATTTCCAAATCGTGGTCAAAAGTAGGTCGTTTTAAATATAATCATTTTTTTGTTCCTAGTTGGTTCCTTCTTTCTCTATATTCATGCCTTTCGTTGCTGTCCGCTCGTATGCATTACGTGTTGGAATCACTGAACAGGAATGAATGAACTAGCAATGAAAAGAGTACAAGTACCTAACCCTAGAATTGTGTACCCCCTATAGGCTAACCCACTGTAGCCTAAACTAACACAACATATATAATGTTTGACACACCCCCATAGGCAAAGTGGGGGAGAACTAGGGGTCACAAGACCAGTCAAGGCAAAGCAAGGCAAAACAAGCTCAGGGTGGATCTCAAGGATACCACACAAATTCCGAGCACAAGCAAGTGGTCACAAGACCAGTTCACATGCAGGTTTATATATAGAGATCACAGTACAACAGACTCAAGAAGTAAGCAAGTGAGGTCCAGTAGGCACAAGGCCTAGAAGAGTGCAAAAGCGCTGATGGTCACAAGGCTGAAGCGCCTTGGTGAACACATCAGCAGTGTTGGCCTCAGAGGCCACGTAACGCAGGCGAAGCTGACCACGCTGCTGCAGCTCTCGAGCGAGGAAGTAACGCAGAGCAATGTGCTTCGTTCTGTGCTCCAGTCTGTGCTCCTCACACAAGGCAATGGCTGCCTTGTTGTCGACGTACAGCACTGGAGGAGAACGAGGCTGCTCTCCAAGGTCGGTCAGCAAGTAGGTGAGCCAGCGTAGCTCCTGGGCCGCCATGGCTGTGGCGTAGATCTCAGCCTCACAACTGGAGCTGAGAACAGAAGAAGAGCGAGTAGAACGCCAAGAAACAGAACCAGAGCCAAGACTGAAGGAGTAACCCTGAGACGACCGCTGAGTAGCCTGGTCGTCTGCCCAAGAAGCGTCTGAGTGCCCAGTGAGAACAACTGGGACTCGCCCTCCAAGCACTAGCCCCATGCCCGACGTACTGCACAAGTAGCGCAACACCCTCTTAGCTGCATCCATGTGCTCCTTCCGGTGACGGCCGGGAGCGACATAGCGTGCAAGAATGCTGAGAGGGTATGCAAGGTCTGGTCGAGTGCAGGTCATCAGGTACATGAGGCAACCCACAAGCTCTGGATACGGGCCACTCGGCTCTACGGACTCATCCGAAGGCAGAGCTGAGAGCGAGTGACCGGTAGGCAGAGGAGTGGGCTGAGGCGAGGAGTACGTGAAGCGGAAGCGCTGAAGGACCTGCTGCACCATGTGTGACTGAGTCAAGGTGATGGTGCGGCGTGCTCTGTCCCGGGTGATCCGCAAGCCAAGATAGCTTGTCAGTTCACCCAGGTCTGTGCACGTGTGTCTCTTCTGCAGCTCCGACTTCACGTGGGCGAGTGCCACAGTGTCAGCAGTAGCAAAGACCAAGTCGTCGACGTACACAAGGACGTAGAACGGCGGCAGTGAGGTGTCGGTGCGTAGAAACAGCGACGGGTCAGCAGTAGAAGGCGCGAACCCAAGAGCCGCAAGTGTAGTCCTCAGTGTGTCGTGCCACTCACGAGGCACCTGGCGGAGACCGTAGACTGGCCGTCGGAGGCTCCACTGGGTACCAGGAGGGAACGACCCAGTGAAGCCAGGTGGACGGCGCAGCCAGATCTCCTCGTGCAGGCTGCCCTGCAGGAAAGCAGTGCTGAAGTCAAGCGAGTGGAGCTCGTAGTCACGCTGAGCGGCGACGTGCAGCAGAACCCGAAGAGTGGTCATCTTCGGGGTCGGGGAGAAGGTCTGGAAGAAGTCAACTCCCTCGCGCTGACTGAAGCCTCGTGCAACGTAACGCGCCTTGAAGACAGGCGGAGAACCCGGCGGCCGCTTCACCCTGAAAATCCACATGCCACTGACGATGTTCGCCCCAGGTGGGGGAACCTCGTCGACGTAGGTGCCTGTGGACTTCCAGGAAGCCATCTCTGTGTCCATGGCTGACTGCCACTGAGAGGAGTAGGGACCGGCCATCGCCTCTGCGTAAGAGCGTGGGGTCGGGATGTCTGGTGCATCCGGGTCTCCCTCAGGGGCAACAAGCATGGACACGAGATGGGGCAAAGCGGCAGCAAAGCACTGGAACTCCTCCTGCCTGTCCTCAAGGACGTCAGTGCCAAGAGCACACTCACCCCCGACGGACGGAGGACAGACAGACTCAGACTCAGCAACTAGGCTAGCAGCGTAGTCTAGACGACAGCGAGCAGCAAAGTCGACAAGCTCAGCAACTAGGGCAGACGCAGCAGCAGACTCAAAGGAAGGGTCAGTGACAACAGTGGCCAGGAGACGCGTGACAGCAGGACTGGTAGCACGAAGAGAGTCTGACCCAGGGTCAGGAAGAGCAGGAAGAGAGGAAGCAGGAGGAGACGGCAGTGGGACACGCTGTGGAGCAGTGGACGGACGAAGCGCCATCCGGTGAGTGCCTGGGACAGCAGGAAGACGCTGACGCTGGACTCGACGACTAGAGAGAGCAGTGCGGACAGGCGACCCAGGACGAGACTCAGGCGACGCAGGACGAGACGCAGGCTCACGCCGCTCAGTAAGACCTCCAGTCGGACCAGTGTAAGGAGCAGGACCAAGGAGAGAGGAGGCAGACGGTAACGCCGACTGCAGCTGGACAGGCTGAGGACACTCTAAGGAGGGAGGAGGAAAAGGAGGAGGAAGCTGACCAAGAACCTGCTGAAGGAGCGGAACAAAGTACGGCTGAGACCGAGCAGCGACACCAGAGCCAGCAGGGACACCCGCACCAGGGTCCGCAGCACCAGCAGCAGCTCCAGCGCCCACGTCCTCAGCACCAGCGGTAGCTCCAACGCCCGGGTCCTCAGCACCAGCAGTAGCTCCAACGCCTGGGTCCTCAGCACCAGCAGCAGCTCCAACGCCCGGGTCCTCAGCACC